GGGAGCCGTGACAATGAACCCCCAGTGCGCCCGCTGCGGAAAAGTCGTGTATCCCACGGAGAAAGTCAACTGCCTGGACAAGGTGAGTGAAGGGGCGCGGGGCCAGCCCGACCCGCCTGGCGCCGGCAGCACCTGCTCTGAGAAGTTTTGGCCTCTGGGGTGGAACGAGATGTGCGGGTCTGTGCGTGTGTGTCTTGGCACTGGGTGGGGACGCGCGGAGGAAGTCGCCCGCTGGAGAGTCTCAGAACACTCGGAGTCGGTGATGCTGGAGCCGGGAGAGGCTTCTGTCGGGGTGCGGGGCTCAGCTGGCGGTGGCGAGGCAGCTGCGGAGGGCGCACCGCCGAGCGGCCGCCGGCGCCGGGTGAGCCCGGGCTACAATGCCGCGGCCCATTCAGCGAGACGTGCCCCCCTGCCAGGCCCCTCCAGCCCTTTACACCACGCGTCACCCCCATCCCGTGCCCAGCGCGTCTCAGGACGGCGGGGAGCTGGAGAGGCAAATCGTAATTAACAGGGCACTGGGCGGCCGCTGCCGCATTGCTAAGGATCATCTCCGCCGGAGAGCCTGGCGTCGCGAGCCCCGGCTCAGCGCGGCTGGCCCGACCCCCTGTGGGGCTCATCCTCCGGGGCTGGGAATTCCAGAGGAAGTGGCTTTCACCTGGTCCTGCAGCCCTAGTGCCCAGCGCGGGCGTGGATGGCCGGAACAGCCTGCGAGAGAGACCCAGGCACTATTCTGAGGGACCGACGATTGAAACCAACCGGAGGCGTTCCCTGTGAAATTTGTGCAGTGGTACGAATGCCTCATTAGAGCATCTGCCATCTGACTGTCCTCCCGGCCAGGGTCCGCCTTACCCGCAGTTTGTTGGAAGCTGGACTGGGGGATGAGCGTCAGCGGGGTTGCCTGGGGTTGCCTGACTTCGCTTAAATACATTTGTCGATATTCTACAGACACGGTGTTTAGGCACTTTGAACTGGAGGATTTCTTTTTGCTTTGAAGCCACTTTATGGGTTCCGTTTCTTTATTAACCCAGCTCAGATTTTCAGTCAGAAGTGCAGTATGAACAGAACCTTGGCATTTCTTCTGTATGAGTCTGTACCACAATTGTGGTGGGATTCTTTTAACACAATTTTAATAGCTGCCTGCTTTATTTACTTGGCAGAGAGTTTTCAAACATACCCACTGTTAGCTATAATGATTTTGCTGTCTTTTCAAATAGGGGATGTGATGCTGTACCCATGCGGAAAAGAACTTGTTATAAAATTTAAATATTTTTTTTTTCCAGTATTGGCATAAAGGATGTTTCCATTGTGAAGTCTGCAAGATGGCTCTCAACATGAACAACTACAAAGGCTATGAAAAGAAGCCCTATTGCAATGCGTAAGTATTGTCAACATGGTGTGCCTGCATGGCACAGCTCCAGATCATAAGAGTGGGTCTGCCTGTTTGGAAGACTTGATGCACTGTGTCACCCAGGTGTGGCAGTGGCCAGTGACCTCTTTATGCTGCATACTCTGTATTTTGTTAAAAGTCACTGCATTTACATCTTGTCCCAATGTGGAGGGTGATTAGTTGATGTCTTCATCTGGAAGTCTGTTTTTTGAGATTCACAAGTGTCGGAGTTAGGGGCATTTGTTAGAAACTACAGAAATTACATACTGAAAATGTGTGGGCTCTGAAGTGCATGTCACATAGATTTCCATTTTAATCACATTTCAGTTTCCATTTTAATCATATGATGATGCCATATTACAATTTTTTAAAAATCTGAACTTAGTTGCTGGGGGAAGGAGTCTACTTGGTTTTAGCTGAGACTACTCCAGAAATCCTGGAACTTATATAGGGAACCAAGGGCTAGAGGCATGGGTATTTCCATTTGTTTAGTAGCAGGTCTGTTGGTGGGATTAAAGAAGGCCAGCTTCCTTCGGCAGGTGTTTCTGTAGGCATGCCTCTAGCCTGAAATAATAGCAATTAAGTACAATGTACAGTTTGCATGTGCCAGGCCTGTCCTAAGCACTTTTTGCATACTGAATCATTTAATCTTCACAGACTGTAACACTTAGGAGGTGTTATAATTATTGTTCCCATTTGCCAAATCAAGAAACTGAAGCATGAAGAGGCTAAACCTCAAGAATTGGTTCAGCTCAGACTCAGAGGCTGCAAGTGGTTAAGTATTGGCCAGTATTTCCAAAGGGCTACCTTGCTGCCAGGGCATGTGTTTCTTCACTTTTTGAGCATCCTTCCACCTACTGTTTCCCATTGTGGGGTTGGCCCTGATCACTGAGCCTTTCCTTCCTGGTTCCCATGGGGGTGGTGGTGGTGGTGTCTGTCCAGCCTGGAGGTGGCAGGGGACTCTTGGGCTTTTGGCTGGTATATTGCCAGAAGTTCATTCTCTGTAGGGTTTATGAAGCAGGTTGATTCAGGTCTCTTGGAGGTGGAGTGTCCCTGGTTAGTTCACGCTCCTGGGAGATTGTTATCATAGGTATTGGAGCCAGTAAGTATTTGATCAGTAATGTTATGCGATCATACTTCTCTGTGAAATAC